TCCTCCTCCTCCTCCTCCTCCTCCTCCTCCTCCTGCTTTTCCCTCCTTCTCCTTTTCCTCCTCCTTCTTCTTCTGAGACAGGGTTTCTCTGTGTAACTTTGTAGACCAGGGTGACCTCGAACTCACAGAGATGTCCCTGCCTCTGCTTCCCAAGTGCTGGGATCAAAGGCATGCACCACCACTGCCTGACCTAAAGACTGTAACTTCTATCACTAACCCTCATCTCATTGTCTGTCTGTCTCCTGCCTCTTCCCTCTTATCACCCATATGCAACCAACCGTCAAGTCATTCTCTCATTTCTTTCCGAATGCCCTCCAAAAGCCATCATTTTTTATAACTCACTCCCCTTCACATCAGCTGAGTGCTGTGTGCCTGTATACCAATCAGCTTAAAGAGCATCTGCATTCCAATTAAATTACTTCCAATCACACAACTACGCAAAGGCTTTTCATGAACTGGAGCATTTCCCAAAATATGTTTTATAGAACATCAGTTTCACAACATTTTAACAGGACAGCTAGGATTCTTTTTCCAAGTGCTTAACAGAAAAAGTAGTTTCTTTTTCTTTTTGGTTTTTCAAGACAGGATTTCTCTATGAAACAGTCCTAGCTGTCCTTAAACTCACGGAGATCCACCTGCCTCTGCCTCCCAAGTGCTGGGATCAAAGACGTTTGAAACTCCTGCCTGGCTAAAAATGGAGTTTCTTCTCAGCAAAAATGTTCAGAGCTTGTAGTAAGTTAAATATACACTGAGTGTATCCTTGGTGGAGAACTAGGCATTTCACAAATTTATTTCATTGCAGAGCCCTTTTACCCTAGGATACTTTATAAGCTGATGCAGAACACCAGGACAGTTTTTAGAAAGCCCAAACTTTCATTTTGCTCCTTATATGATTAGCTCGATATATGCTAATCCTAGACTCCCTTTATTCTTACCCAAAGGATGCTCAATCTTACCACAAGGACACTTGCTCAACTATGTTCATAGCAGCATTACTTGTAATAGCCAGAACCTGGAAACAACACAGATGCCCCTCAACTGAAGAATGGATAAAGAAAATGGAATATTACTCAGCTGTAAAACACAATGACCTCATGGAATCTGCCGGCAAATGGATGGAACTAGAACAAAAAAAAATTCTGAGTGACAAACACGGTATGTACTCACTCATAAGTGGATATTAGGAGTAAAGTATAGAATAACCAACCTACAATCCACAGCTCCATAGAGGATAGATAACAAGGAGGGCCCACAGAGGGATGCCTAGATTTCCCTGAGAAGGGGAAATAAAAGGGATCTCCTGGGTAAACTGGAGAGACGGATGGGAACTTGAAGGATCCGGCTGGGGAAGGAGGGGGAGAGTAACAAAAGTGACATCTGGACTGGGGGGTGGGCATTTTGGGTAAGTCAAAATAACAAAAATCTCTGTCAACCAGAGCTTAGTCACAGTCACCTTCCCTTTGCTCCAGAGCAGGGATTCTTAAGATTTTTCTACTTGTGACCCATTTTGGAATGAGAAAATTTTACATGAATTTAGTTATATAGGTATATAAGTATGTGCAAATAAAATATTTACTGGTAATAAATCATGAAAAATTTTATTGAGACAATTTCTTGGTATATTTATAATCTCACCACTTATGAAAGATGAAAGGAAATGTGTATACTAATGAGGGAGATGGGCTTCTATGCTTTTATGTGATAAATTAAATTTTGGATGAAAAATTAATACTGTCATATGTTCAGCATATTCAGTGTTTTCCAGGGTTGACTGATATTTTGATTTATAATCATCAATGCTGAGAAGTCTGCCTCACCTAAACACATAGCACACAATGGCATTTCAAAAACTGTTGAAAATTCTGTAACAATCTTAAGCCAAATTGTGTTTAGTGACTTCTTTTTAATGAAACTCAAGTCAGCAACTCAAAGAGCAACTTTTAAAAATCAAACATTTTAACACAATATAAGCCAAAGTTATATTAATTTTATACTTACATGTTGAGGTATAACAGGAGGAAAGTACTAAAAATTCTGGTTTTCCATAATTAAACCATTATGTTTCTATAAAAGGAGACAACTCCGTATGTACAGTAAAATAATGCACTACATAACACATAGTAGTGCCATTTGAGTGAAGCATATCAGGAAGTGCTACTTGTTACTGTGTATGGAATACACATGTTTTCAGAACCAAGGCTACAGTGAAGACACAGATGCAACACTGGCAAGTGCTGTCAGCAGCACCTCAGATTTACCATGCACTGGATTTGAATTAATCTTCTGTCATTAATTCAGAAAACTTTACTATTGCCATATTTTGTTAGGAATCCTAAATCCAGTTACCCCATATGAGGTCAAGGTTGCCACTAATTTAAGAAGCTGTACCCTAGAGTCTTCCTGCTAATGTAACTTCTATGATCTCCCAGGTTCTTGCGGAACAAAGAAAGGCAGAAGCACAAATACACTGGTGCTAGAATGGGAAGCAGGCTGAAGGCTTCTGGCAGTGGACACATTTCAACATGATGATTCTAAAACAAAGAGAGGCTGGCTGAGGCCAGGGCAGGCAGGACGTGGTTATTCTTTCAGTCTGAAAAAGAATAGACTTTTATCTGGATGCAACCAACAGCTTGCCAGATGCAGACTGGCTTTGCCTCCAGCCTGACCTCTGGCCAACAATATACATCCCCTAGCAGGGAAGACACTCGAAGCACATAGTGCTCTAAATGCCAGCAATGTTATTTCAAATCATTCAGAGCACAGGCCTAGAACAGGCATGTGACTCCAGAGTCAGAAAGGAGACTCGGAATAGTTGGCAGCAATATGACAAATATAACTATGTTCTGATCATAGTAAGATGCCACCTAAGACAAATGCCCCTTAAATCCAAAGTTCAGTAGTGTCCCCCTTAGAAGAATGCATTGATGCCTCAGGCGAAGCTTTAAAATGTAGTGAACTATACTGATAAAAAAACCAGTATGACTGGCAGTCAAGTCTTAAAGATTTGTTTCATTTTATTTTTAAAGCCTTTCCTTTGAGCTGTTTCAGTTTCACAGACAAATGGAGAGCAGGATACAGAAATTTCCTCTGTTTCAACTCATCCCTGTACATGCACAGCCCTTCCAACTACTGAGATACCCTCACCAGGAAATGGTTGACTTTAAAAGCAAGTATTTACCTGTTTCCTTCCATGTGGCAAGCTTTGTATTATTTACTTGTTGGGGGTCAGTGTGGGTAAAAGCACATTTATAGTAAGAGTGACAGGCATGTAGTTCCATACATCATGCAGACTGCATGCCTAGAATGCCTACACACAAGCATGGTAGAGACAAGATGACAGATGTGTTTAAAAAAGAAAAAGAGGTAATACACTAGACAAGAAGTCCAGTGCAGGTGAGGCTGTGGAGAGGAGCATGCTCACGTCTAATGCCCGGGAGAATGTGAATTGTCAAACCCTTTCCCAAAGTACTCTAGCAGTATTTACAGACAATGACTATGCACAGCTTCTGCCACAGCAGTGTCACATCTGGGAGTTTATCTTAAAAAGTAATATCATGTGTAGGAAAAGATACTTTGTTGGATGTTTATAAAGCATTTTTGGTAGTATAAAACCCTTTAAATGATTCAAATGATCATCAATGCATTAACCAAAGGAAAAAAATTATAGTACATTGATGAGGAATGTACTGTGTATGTTCATCTTATTGTTATTGAATAAAATACTGTTTGGCCAATGAAACAGCAAGTTAGACAGGACTAGGAGTCAAAGAGGATTCTGGGAAATGTAGTAGAGAAGTGGTGTTCCAGGCAGGAAGTGACATAGCAAGGAGACTCATTTAAGCAAGGAGAAACAGGAAGTGTCCCTTTTCCCCTTTGCCTTCTCCAGCAGCAGGATGTGAGCCATCTGCAAGAGAGGGCGCCAGTGAAAGGTATCCTCTATAAGATAAGTCTTATAAGATATATAGATTTATGAAAATTAAGACTGAGCTAACAGGTGAGAAATCCTAGTCATTGGCCAAGCAGTATTTACCTAATACAAGTTTCTGTGTATTAATTTGGGCCCTAACTCGGGTGGGCAGCTGGCGTAAAGTGCACATGTGGTGGTGGGGCTCAGCGGCTTTTGGCAGAAAGATTTATCGTAACAGTACATCACATTATGAAAATACATGCATGGCTCTTGAGGTGCGAGCCCTCTTTCAAGGTCTGCTGGCAGTTATTGGCTGCTGAGGTGGGGATGTCACTTTCTTTGATGGTTAGCTACTTTTAAACTGTTCTTGCAAATAACCTGACCCATGCTCATGCAAGCAACTCAGAGGGTTATATGAACTCAAGAAGACTTGAAAGGAGAAGGGAGAGTTCGTAGGAAGAATGGTTTCAGCTGGAGAGGAAGGAGATGAAAAATGGGAAGGACTGGGGAGAATGCTAATATTTGGTATACAGATTTTGTCAAAGAAAAAGACAGAAAAATATGCAGCTTCAAAAGAGTTAATTTAGTTGTATGTCTTCTTGGCTTGCTGCAGAGTAACAGGCACAAATGACAGGGAAGGTAAATAGAATAACCGTGGTTTGTGTAAAATAAATACTTCTCCAAACCTTATTTATGTATCAATATACAAATAACGTGAGCATGGGAGAGTGAGTCAACAGAGCTGCAGGAGCATTGTTTCTGACTATAGATGTGGAGCTGACAAGAAGAGAGGCTCAGAGGAGAGAAATCACACCTAGAAAGCCAGATCAGAGGCAATATCTGTGCTAGGAAGCAAAAGGGGGACTCTGAGAATCCTTTAATACTGTCTTATCACTTTACTCTTCCTTCTCAAATGTCTGCTAGGAAAGGAATTCTTTTGGAACTTCCCCTCTAGTTACCATACTCATGCTCTTCACACGCCAGGTCCTTATAGCTTTCTTTACAGTTTCCCCTATTCCTATTTGACACAGTAGTGTCTATTGTTTCTTTGCCTTTTTCACTAAAATCAAAGTCCATAAATGAAGTTCTGTGCTGTTACTGATGTAGTGGTATCTAAAATAGTCTCTGTTACATAGACACCAGTCAGTAAATGCTTGTTATATAATGAATGTGTTATGATTCGTTTACAAAAATTAAAAAGACATAGACTGCAAGTCAAAACAGTAAATAACATTTCTAAATGGATAATGGAACTAAACTTAAAAAATTATTGCTCTCCAGAGGATCCAGGTTAGGTTCCCAACACCCACCTGGCAACTTGGAACCATTTACAACTCAAGCTCCAGTGAATCAGAAGCCCTCTTCTGGCCTCCACAGGCACCACAATGTATGTGGTGCACAGACATCCATGCGAACAAAACATGCATACATATAAAATCTAAATAAATAAACCTTAAAAAAGAGATAAAAAATATTCTTAGCAGGAAGATTTGGCCACTAGTACATTTGGCCACTAGTAAAGAAGACAACAGGCAGTGATCCTGAAAAACGGAGATGATTTACAGCCTCCCAGTAGAATCTGCAGTTCATACCATCTGACACAGAAGAGTTAAGACTCTCAAACAGAACCACACAACAGAACAATTGAAACCATTTTCTATGTTCTGATATTCATAATCTAGTATACTAATAAACTCCAATAATTACAAACATATTTATAGGTAATCTTATAGGTTTAGGCCACATTGTTAATTAAACATAATTCTTCTCTAAGTAATGACACTACTTCTTACTAGAGTTGTATAAATTCTAATTTTCCCAAAAAGGCTGTAACACTAAGGCTGTCCACACAAAGATCTCTGGAGGAGCAATGAACTCATCCCAGATCCTACAGTTCTCCTACAGCCCACAGTATTTTTCAATTGTGTATAATATGAATTTGCTACAACAAGCATTAAATAGAAAGACGAGGTTTTGTCTATTTTGCTTTTAAAAAGCAGTTTCAAATTAAAATAAGCTTTTCAGTATAACTGATTTCTCCATGCTTGCATCTGATATCTAAGTACATATTTATTCATCTGTAGAAAACCTAGTACATACTTAAAATCAGGTAGCTTATCTTTACTTCATAAACAAGAAAAATCAAACAGTTCTTAAAGATACAGGTCTGTACAGGGTTTTCCTGAGCCCTTTCAAAAGAAGGTAAGTATCACAGAAACAAAAGACAAGCTTGTTTTCTATGGGATTGAAATAAAGATGCTGTGATCTCACAATAACCTACAGTTCACCTGAGAATACCAATTAATTATTTCAAAATATTTTGGTTCTTCTGAATGAATATCCAAATCTTTGGAGACTCTTACAAAGATAGCCCTACATACAAGAGTTCTGCAGCTTTAAGAACTGCCTCATTTTTCCTATTTAAACAGTAAAGACTGACTTTTAAGTATATATTAGGTTTCTATAGATGAACAAACACATATTTAAATATCAAATGTAGACATATTTAGTTAAAATCAATTAAACTAGAGAGTCTTTCCCTCCTGGCTGTCTATATTTTTCTTTAATCCTGGCCAGTGTAAACCCTTATTACCAGTAATTTGCGACTGTAACACTGAGGAAAAATGCTGGCCTCCCGATTTTTGTCATTTCTCCCCCTCTTTCCCTGCAGGCTTCTACTGTTGATGGCCTTTATGGAAATATAAATTCAATCAGCAGCTGCAAATTTCATGAGACGTCCATCTTCATGCTGAATTTCTAACTGAGTGTCAAAACAATCTGTGGACTTCTCCCTGATGAAACACACATTGAATTGTAAATTTCTGCAATTTCCTCACGGTTGACTCTCAGCTGCCAGCCTGGAAACAGCCTACTAGGCTGCAGCAAATAATTCTTCCTTCTTATTTCTTCATGAGTTAAAATGTATAAGGAGCATGAAGTCCCCCTTCCCCAGCGTTGGACAATTAAATTTTCTACGCTAACAAGAAAACAAGGCAATCCACCCCCCCCATAGATACACTCGCTATGTTTTATAAAGAAACTATTGTCTAAGAGACGTACATGTTCTGTATGGTCATCTGTACTCATTTACACTAGTTGGTAAGTGAACAAGACAGTTTTGATAAAATTAGTATTTTCTATATATGATATCAACTAAGTCTATAACTGAAAAGCAGTCACTAGTAACTACAGGTTTAATGAGATACATTGTTATTAAATATTCCCAAGAGGAAAATATTAAAGCAAAAAAATTAATACTGTCAGACTGGGCATTCTTCTTAATGTATAATTACAACTGGGTTAATTTTTCACCAAAGACTCATTTTCAATGAATAACAAACAGAACTGCTTTTAAATAGCACGCTATTACAGAACCTATGTTGTTTTACAACTAAATGAACAAAAGTGCCAAGAGGTTTGGTAAGCTATCTTAAGAAAGTCATTATGCTATGTTTCAAGACACACACTTTTTTTGTTGTTGTTGTTGTTTTGTTGTTTTTTTGTTTTGTTTTGTTTTTCAAGACAGGGTTTCTCTGTGCAGCTTTGGAGCCTATCCTGGCACTCATTCTGGAGACCAGGCTGGCCTCAAACTCACAGAGATCCACCTGCCTCTGCCTCCGGAGGTCTGGGATTAAAGGCGTGTGCCACCAACGCCCGGCCTCAAGACACACACTTCTTATAAAGTTTTCACTATTTCAAAATAAGTCACAGGCTTATTTAAAAATTCGCCAAGCCATGGTAGTAAGCTTTGGTCTCTAGAATAACAAATGAAGTGACAGCTCTTCTATCATTTATTTAACAAACATTTTTTGAGCATCCCCTGAGTGCCAGGTAACCCTTAGTAGCCATGAGAATACAGAGAGAGATAAGGAGTCAGCAGCCTAATGGAGACAACAACAACAAAAACAACTTGTTAAAGTGTAGTGCTGCAAGTGTGATAAACAAACACGAAAAGCACTAGAGAGGGACAACTGTCAATGAACACTGACCAGACTCCTAGAGAGACACAGGAGTCAACAGGAGGCAGTAGAAGGTGCTCGCTCCAGGCAGGAGAGGATGCCATTCAACCAAGAAGCAGGAGATCGAAGTGACTATGAAAAACTGTTCATAGCCAGAGCAGGTAAACAGGGCTGATGTGTGACGGGCCAGACTAGGTCGGCTGGCATGATAAAATATTTACTGAAACATCTGGAATGCAAGGCAGTAAGAGGGATTTTAAGCATTAATATAAAAATAACATTCATTAAAATCATAAAAACAAAAGCTATAGTATAACGGTTAAACAACATAGATTCCTGGAGCCCAGACTTGACTCAAATCCAGTTCTGCCAGGATGACCACGTGATTGGGGCAGGTTTCTTTCTCTGTCTCAATTAGCATGTGAGTAAGACAGTAATAGCATGACATACTCCAGGTAAGGAACTATACTTACAACCACAGTTACAGGGCTAACTCTCCAGCATAAAGGTGTATTTTCACATAGAAAACATTTACTGGATATTTATAGCATACCATGTAAATACCTCCCAAAAATTTACAAACAGAAAACCAGAGGAAAGTTTAAATAACCACAAAATAGATTTTGGAAAGATATTAATACACAGAATCAATCAATCAATATTTTTAAAATACAAGGGGACCATACAAGTCAATGAAATTGCATCAATATTTTTAAAATATATAAAACTTTTACAACAAAAATTGTCCATGCTGATGTGTGTGGGGTTGGAATGACGCTCTATAGAGTACCTTAAAATAGCACACTGTCATAAAATTGGGCTTGAATTGGAGCTGTGACAATCACTGAGTTTCAAACCCAACTGCAGGCCCTAAGGGCATAGAACGGCAGTAGTCTCTTGCCAGAGAGAAAATATACCGTTAGCTCATGACGGGTGGTGGGGGATGCACCAAGAGTGCGCATAATCTTCATGCTATCAAAGAGTTGCACTGCTCAGAAAATCTACCAGAAGATCCTGGGGGCCTGAACTGGAGCAGAGCAGACAGTCATTTCAGTGTGGAAGGACTAGGGGAGAAGGGCCACCAGCAACAAATGTAAAGTTTAGAGAAATACCACAGGTGTGTGAGGGTTTCAAATTTACTCAGTTGGTCAGTGTGAATGATAAACTTGAAAGCAACAAAATCTTGCTTGAAATAGTTTAGGATCCAAATGGCATAAAAGTAGACAGTGCTATAGAGATACCCACCACATTAGATCTCTACAAAAGTAATCCCAATGAGAGATGATTATTTTTAAAAAAGAAAGAAAAGGAAAAAAAAAAGATCACAGCTTGACAAGACCACCATGAAGGGAAAACTTTATCCAGTGTAATTAGATAATGGTACTATGATGGTACTGCTTTTGGCTTATGACAGTTGGCTATGATCTCTTGACTTTATGATGGTGAGAAAGGGTATTTATATCAACATTCTGTTTTTAATGTAACAGAATATATATAATGATAATTTTGTATATAACACAGTACATGAGATAATCACCACCTTATTTAAAATCAGGCTGTGTTCATTCCATCCATCTGTACATGGACATATATACATGTTCTAAATACAATTATGGTAGGCCAAATAAGCAATGATGTCAGTGAGTTAGGTAAATTAAATGCACTTTTATCTTAAATTACTTTCAATTTTCAATGGGTTTAGGAGAATACAACCACAGTGCAAAACATGGTGCATCTACAATCTGAAAGTAACTAAAACTGAGAGTGTTTAGAGTGAATTTTAAAAGATAAGAGAAAAACCACTAGGAAAATTAAGTAAAATATTTTTTAAAGACCCAAAGAGAAGCACAGAAAATAATCATCAAAGGAAAGCAAGTCTGATAAAGGACACAGAAGGAAGTGGGATGAGGCAGGCTGGCTAAGGGTCTCCGTAAGAGGGCTGCTATACAAACTCAAGGATCAGAGTTTGAATCCCAAGCATCCACATAAAGAGCCAGACAGGCTGCACACGCCTATAACCTCAGCATTGGGAAATAGCTGCTGGCCAGCACCTAACCTAAACAGCCAGCTTCTGATTTAATGAGAAACTCTGTCTCAAGACAATCAGGCAGAGAGGGGTGACAGAAGACCTGAGATGCCATCTTATTCTGGTCTCCTCTTCATGCACACACAAACATGCACATCAGGTACACCACACATGTGTACCACATACGAGACAGACCACACATGAATTATGAGGAAAAATGCTAGTGAATATATTGGAGAACTAAGCAAATAATATTAGCAATAACAGTAAAACTTGGAAGGTATAAATTATTATTTATAGGAAAATATGTAGCCCAAAGTATCAGAAAACAAACAAGATGACGATCGATAACCTGAGACTTTGAAGAAAGTAAAAAACTTGGTGAACTAAGAAACAAAGAAAGTAGAATACAGAAAATAAAAGTAGAATTAATATTTAATGAAACAAAATAAATATCAAAATAAAAATCTGATTCTTTGAAAATAGTCAAATTTGTTATTAAGTTTTAAGAAAATTATAAGTAAACAATGCTAGGAATTTACAAATACATAAAAAAGCAGAAGACACTATATTTTTATTCATGTAGATTTTAAATTTTAAAACATGTACATTTTTAAAAATGTGTATGTTTTGTTTAAATGCATCACATACATGCAATGCCTGCCAAGGTCAGAGGTGAGCATCAGTTCCCTTGGAACTAGAATTATAGTCAAGTTGTGGGCCACCATAAGGGTGTTCAGAACTGGACCCAAGTCTTCTGCAAGAGCGTAAGTGAATGTAATATCTGAAACATTACAAATGTAAATTATTAAATAACAATTTATTATTAGCTCCTAAAATATGAATTAATATTAACATGAATTATTAAAAATGAACAAATAATTGGGAAAAACAAATAGAACTTGCAATTATTAAAGAAACTGTATGACCATAACGAAATGGTCATAATGAAAAAAATCTTCCTATAAATAGATTTTAGTGCAAAATTTCTTCCAAGATCTTATTTAGATCACGAATTTATATAGAAAGGATTCCCAAGCCTAGTTCTTATTTAACATGCTTCTCTTGCCTGAACATACCTCAATTCATTGGCAGGAGTATGTGCTATTTGAAATAATCTTATTAGGACATTAATCAGTTTCTACAGAAGCTACCTACTGTAGGCTGTTTCACAGTTACCACTAGAGAAAGGATTTGTTAAAAGGCTGAAAGTAGAGACAGAAAGAAATAAACTTATGGGCCAAATGTTGAGTTCCTAAATTGATAGAGAAGAGAAGACAAGAATCAGAGTGGACAGAACTTCATACATATCAATAGTGTAGTGAGATGTTCAAGTTACATATTCAGAGGCAACTAGCCAATCCCTAAGAAACTCCTCCTCCTCCTCTTCTTCCTCCTCCTCCTCTTCCTCTTCCTCCTCCTCCTCTTCTTCCTCCTCGTCTTCCTTTTGATTTTTGAGACAGTTTCTCTGTATAGTCCTGGCTGTCCTGGAACTCACTTGGTAGACCAGTTTGGCCTCAAACTCAGAGACTGCCTGTCTCTGCCTCCCAAGTGCTGAGATTAAAGGCATTTGCCACCAGCTAGCAGAAAAGAAATATATATTTTAAAGCCAATGCCACTCTATCTTTCCAACATAACATTGGTCTCTAAACTAAACTTTCTTACTGTAATAGTGATTCAGAAACCAGGTTCATACATAAATATAAGCTTCAACCATACCAGGTGACTCAACTGGTTAGAAAACAAAGGGCTTTGGACCTGGGCTCTTCAGGCTTTAGCTAGAGAAGGGACTGTTCCAGAGTCGGGTCATCAGAACAGGTTGCAGCAGTCACCAGCCAGCACTTATTTCCACTTTCAGAACTATACCACATGAGACAGAGTACATGAGTGAAGCAGAACCAAAACCAGCCAGAAGAGAAAACACCTTGTGATTTCTCCTGACAGTCAGCCCACAGTTTCCCCACAACATAGGTACTCACTACTGGCATTCATGAAACTTGGCTGCCACCTACCAGCACTGCCATGATTACAAAGTCAAAATGCACACAACCATAGCCATCACCCAGAAGGCTCTCTGGGATCTGCCATATTTCCCATAATATGTAGTTCTTATACACTGCAGCTTTTTGCTTTCCCAGCCTCTATCTAGGTAGAATACTACTCCCCATTTTTAATGCCCTTTTATACTTTTATATAAAAAGGTTTTAATCATACCAAAAGGTAAGTAAGTCATCTTTCCTTTGTGAAAATATTTTTAAATCAGTTAATCA